TCTCTCTCTCTCTCTCTCTCTCTCTCGCATATCATACGCGCTCTCTCTTATCACAATTAGGCTCTCTTTTATGCTCTCTCTATCACGTAATACCCCTCCCTCTCCCCCTCTACAACATATCTGCACTTTTTTACAACTATTTAATTATTTTAATTACTATAAAAATACAAACTATTTTTAGACAATATTATTAATCAATGTTTTTCTCTCACCCTTTCTCCGCGACCACCGACTCGATGACCACCCGGTGCTGACACACACACCACTGGATTGCTCACACAAACAGTTGATAATCAGATCTTCTGTCTGCACGGCGGTCTCTCGCCTTCCATCGACACACTGGACCACATCCGAGCGCTGGATCGGCTCCAAGAAGTGCCCCACGAGGGCCCGATGTGCGACCTCTTATGGTCGGATCCGGACGACAGGGGCGGATGGGGTATCAGTCCGCGCGGCGCCGGCTATACGTTCGGTCAGGACATCTCCGAGACGTTCAATCACACCAACGGACTGACACTCGTGGCCCGCGCCCACCAACTGGTGATGGAGGGCTACAACTGGTGTCACGACCGCAATGTGGTGACCATATTCTCGGCGCCCAATTACTGTTACCGGTGCGGCAATCAGGCGGCCATCATGGAGCTGGACGACACGCTCAAGTACAGTTTTCTGCAATTCGACCCTGCCCCCAGGCGCGGCGAACCACACGTCACCCGCCGTACGCCCGACTACTTCTTGTAAAGACCGCCGGCACGGGTAGTCTCGGCCCACCGTTGTTGCCGCCGAGTGTATGTCCGCTCCCCTACCGCTACCGCCGCCACTACTTCTCATACGATTACTAATTATTACTATTTTGTAAAACATTCTGTCTCTCTGACCGCTGGACACATCTGTACACTAATACCCGTCCACTTTTTGTCAACCCCTCCCTTTCTAGGATACCCTTTTCACGCCTCCGTTTATTACTATATACCCCTGAAATCCTAATCCTTTTTTAAATGTTAGTAAATTTAAACAATTTTTATCTGTTTATTGTCTTTGTTTATTGTTTTCCATATTTATTAACTATTATTATTATAATTATTATTACTAGTAATCGCCGTAATGTTTTGTATTCTGTTATTATTATAATTATTATTAATTGTAATTAATTAGTTGACACACGATTTGTATGATTAAGACATTATAGACAAAACATGATTGGTTGACAACAACTATAATAATAATAATACAAAACTTACACACAATTAAAAGTAATGTAAACATCAATCTCCACCACTTAATTGTCCATCAGTTTGATAATAATTATAATTAATTATTATTAACTATTATTAATGATTTCTATTACCGGAAGAGTTTTTTCGCACTTTTATTTGTTTTGTTAGCAAAACATAAAAGTTTTTTCCCTTCACTTTAGTTAATATCTATAACATTAGGATTTAATAATTATTATTATTTTTAATTATTATCATTATTATAATTGTAATTATTATTATTATTTGATTGATTACAAGATTATAAAAATACAAAGACTTGAATTGAAAAGAGAAAACAATTGATTTTTAGTTAAGAAATTAATAAAGACCTCGTTTTATATACAAAAATCTGTTTTATTTAATTCAAATACAAAATATTTAATTTACTTAAAACGGTTTTAATTTAATACCGTAATTCATCTTACCATGGTATTATGTGCGCACATTAACAGGTATTAACGGTATTAACAGCGCTGTTTGATAGGTACTGAATAGGTGAGTTAAAATACCAAGATAATTTGGAATTAATAATAATCAATAATTACTGGAATTTTGGTGTTTTAATTAATTAAATTTATTTTATTAAACAAATTTAAATTACAATTTCTCTTAAATAATATACAATTTTGAAGTATTTATCGCCATTTATTTCAATTGATTTAATCTTTCATTTAGTTATCGTTAAAAGTGTTTTCATTGATTTATAGATTTAATAAAACTTGTGTTTTTAATTAATGTAATTTATTAACTATTATTATAATGCAAATGAAAGTTATAATAATAACGTATTTCGTATTACAACTACTAATTCAATGGTAAACACATTCACAATTGAATTGAAACAAATAAAAACTATTTTACAAAACAATTAGCGTTTGTCTCAAACAAAACATACATTTAATTGAGAAATGAATTGAAAAATACAGTAAAACACAGAAATAGAGAATCGTATAGAAAATAGTCTAAAAATATATAAATTTAATTCAAAAATTAAATTCAAATCAAAAGTAATTCACGAAAAAAAATCTAAACACTAATCAATGGATAAATAAATTGTAATTCACTAAAAAATAAAACAAAATGTCATTCAAATTAAAAACAAAACTAACGGTGCGGTCCAATCACACGGCCGATCAATAGAGAGATAGTAGAGTGTATATAGGGATCAGTTGACAGGCGATAGTGACCAGTAGTGGTAGGGATGGGGGAACAGGAATGGGAGATATAACACACCTAAACACCCGGCGCTTAACAATCACCAGATGTGAGTCTCGCGTATTTCGCCAATGATCTGATTGGCCCTCTGGAGGGCTTTCAACATCTCGCTGGCCTCCCGGCGCCGGATCGCGATGTGCTCCGACTCCTGCAACAGGTGCTGGAACTGGTCGTGTTTGTAGAGATGCGTCACGAGTTCGGACTGCAAATTGTCCTTCACGAAGTTGACCAGAAAGTGCATGATCGCTTTGGGCACAGTGTCCTGGATGTTCTTCCTGATGATCATGAAGTAGGACTTAATCAAGCGCTCGATCACATCGCAGTCGCGCTGTTCTCGCGGCGACAGTCGGCGTGTGTTTGTGTTGGTCGGCACTTCTGGCAATAGGTTCACCGCTTTCATCGGCGACTGCACTCGCGAGGGCGACAGCACCAGACCGGCTGTGGCCTCGTCCAGACCGCTGTCGGCGTCGCCGTTGATGTTGTTGGAGGCGGTCGACGGGCCGCTATCGGCGCCCCTATTACTAGAGTTACCATTATTTTGCTGGTCTTTACTACCGCCGCGAAAGTTGGCGAAAAAACCACTGGTGGCCCCATCGGCCTTAGCGGCCCCGTCACCGCCGGCCACGTGCTGTTGCGAGCGATGCCGTTGATCGTCGGTGGGCGACGGGTCGGTCGAGTGGTCGCGCATACGCTGGAGACTGGCGGCCACTGAACCCGTATTGCGTTTCTCTTCGCTATTCTTGATCAACTGCCCGACAAGTTGGGCGTCGTGAAAGTCCGGGTGTTTGGTGTTAATGTAGGCCAACTCCACGGCCACCAGATTCTCGACCATCGAGTTGGTCGGCGGCAGCCGTCGGCGCAGCATTTGGGTCACCACATCCATAATGCGTTCGTGCAGTTTGGGAAAGCGCAGCATTTCCTGCTGTATTTCGAGGCCGCAGTGTTGGACAATGCGTTGCATCTCTTCGTGAACGAGTTCGACGCACCGGAGGGAGGGCTCCTCCAGGCGTCGGATCTGGCGCTTCACCAGCAGCTCGAATGACACTTCCGGTACAAAGAGTGCCGGTCGCGGACCCTATGGGTGGACACGAGCAATGGTTAGACAATTATCATGTTTTCATATATCTCTCACTCTCACACTCTTAACTCATACTTTCTCACTGACAGACACTTACCGTAGCGTTTCTAATAGCGGTGAGTATATCAAGTGTGGTCAGACCGCCCAACGGGTGAATCGAGTCCAGCGTACGGCCAAACGTCTCGTGAAAGATATAGCAGATGCGGGCGCCGCCGCACAACTCCGTGGTCTCAATATTACGTGCGGTGCCCTCAATGGTCGAGCAGTAACTGCTGGCAAACTTCGTGATGATCTGCAGGAGTGTCTGCGGCGGGTCGTCGACGGCGATGCCGTACGAGTTGAGCAGCGACTGGAACTGAGACACCATTACGTTGACGCGTGTCTTCAGCTCCGGGAGACAGTCGCGGATGTGATGCATCAACAGTCGGTTCAACGTCTTGGCGGTATAGGGCGTGCCGTTACGGGTGGCCAACGAGGGGTACTTGCGTTGCAGGTACAGGAGCTCGTCCTTCAGCGCGTCGTCGATGGACTTCTTGTTGATGATGTCCTGTTGAGACCTATTAACCACACCAATGATACCCAACTTAACGGGTATAACGCGACCGCACAGCACGTCTATGGCGTCGGTGCCGGCGTCCATCAGATCCAATTTGGTGATCACGGCCAGCGTTCGGCGGCCATCCGGGTCCACATCTTTGGCCAATTTCAACGCCTCGCTGGTGGCGAAGTCGGTGTTGGCCGGCGTGACGGCCAGTATAATGCTGTTGGGGTTCGCGATGTACTTCACGATCAGATTGCGGATCTGTATCTCGATGTCTTCGGGCTGATCGCCGACCGGCACTTTCGTGATGCCCGGCAGGTCTACGAGCGTCAGATTCACCACTCGGTCGCTGTATATCTTCAGATTGATGGGCTCCGGGCAGATGCCGCGGTTCGAGCCGCCCATACGCTCCGTCTCGGCCTCGATCTCGCGCCGCACGGCGTCGAAGTCGGTGTACACCTTGTTCTTCGTGTGCAGGAACTGCGCCCACTCGGCGGCGTCCAGTGTGCCGTCGCTGGCGTCGCGTACGGTGTGGTCGTCTTTGGCCACGTGCTGGAGCTGTAGTATCAGCGGTCGTCGGGTGACTATACCCGACCCGCGGGGCAGGAAATCGCGGCCAACGATCGACTCAAGTACCGATGATTTGCCTGAGGATTGGGCGCCGACCACAACGATCTGCGGCAGGAGTATGGCGTCGGTGCCGATCGTGTTGAACACGTCCTGCAGTTTGTTTATGATGGGTATCAACGCCTCCATTGTTGGCCTCACTCACCACACTATCACTCGCGGGAACTGTTGTCTTGAGCTGTGGTACTGATTATATCTATCTGTAAATAGAGATAATAGACATTAATTACTGTCCAAAACAGCGCGTGGTTTAAGACACTTACCCCACACTCACACGTGTGTTATCTATAAGACTGACCACTCGAGCGATGTGTGTCTCTGTGTGTCCGCTAAAGACTGGCCAAAGAGGGGGTGAAGAGGGGGTTATTGACCGCCGATTTACAACAGGCTATTGTTTTTGTCGCCCGATATTAATGGCCAACTGTTCCTATAGTGACCACCAATGGGTATACGGATTATACACGATATACTGGTTGACCAATTAGATGACTGTCGGGTCCCGTGCTGTCCACTGATGACCACTATTTCTTCGCTACACTTTTGCCATACATTTCGAGACAAACCGTTGAAAAAAATTGTATTGAGTTTTCATTTGCTGTGAAATACTGTTGTGTTTTGAATGCAATTTCACTGTAAGTACTGTTCTATGGGTTGCAACTGAATGGCCCGTCCGTACAGTACGTCCACAATAATAATGTTTGCAGATAAAAGTTTTTTAGTTTTACATTAATGATTTAGATTAAAATTTTTAATTTAACGTCATTTTAATTGTGGTTTATGTTTTATTTGTTTTGATTAAGTTAGTTATATTTTTATTTAATTTATTGTCAATTATATTGGAACTTATGGAGAGTGACTGTATCTAAATATACAGTTTTTTAACAAGTTTATTATGCAATTTTGTTTGAGTATTGCTTAATAAATAATCTATTTAAGTATTGTTTTGTAAATGTTTATCATGTTGTTTATATAGATAGATAAAATTGTTAAATTACATTTATATGATCAATATTTACTATGCATTGCATTAATCAGTTACTCACAATTTTTTTTTGATCTGTATTTAATAAAATAATTGTTATCATGTTTATTTAAGTTAATTTCGCAATTTAACAAGTTTATTCTAATAGTGCAACATCCAAATAAAATGTATTTACAAAACATATAAAAATAATCTCACATAAAGCTTGAGATAATAGAGAAATGTAAAATAAAATAATTTTTAATATGATTACATACATATTGTTATGTATATGTGTTACTAAATTTTAAATATCATAACCAGTGGACGGATTGTAATATTTGATGCATTTTAATAAGTCTATTCTGTACGGCACAGACAGACAGACATAGCTCCAGGCATTTAGGCTTTGATACAATACTAGCCATTGATAGGCGCATAACTTTCTGCTGGCTTAGAAACATGTTATGTATTCCTAAATATTAATACTGTATTAATAATACATTTAAAATTAATATTTCTGTTTACAAAAATCATTTTATGTGTTCAAATATCGCTTTATTTGATTGAGTTTTTGATTAATTTGGTAAAAAATATTGGCTAAATTGCGAGAAATAATAAGAATACATATGAAATAAGTGTTTAGCGAAAATATGTGTTTTGTTAATGGGTTTGAATGTATGGCTGGGAATGAGTGTTGAATTGGGAGTCTATTCCTCTCCTATTCTCCTCCCTTTCGGTCATAAATCCAAACATTTTTGACAATTTTTATTAGTTTCAAGAATTCAAGACAACATAACATAACATTACGAACCAAACGGTGCCTTAAATTCAATGCATTCATTGCTTACCACTTATTGTATTGTATTTTCATTTGAATTTCATTTCCTTTGCAAACAAAGAGTTAATCATTTCTATTGCTAAACACAACTTTTAGTCCATTTGTTGTCATCTTTTCAATGAATTTCATTTACATTTAAATCAAACGTAAGTTTTAATTGTTTTCACTTATCATTATTTATGTCGTAAGTTATAGTCTCTTATATATAACTAATTATAAATGTATTTAATGTGTATTTATATAATTCATGTAAATATCAAATCAAACGATAGAAAAAAGTTTTAGCTACATTTGTAGCGGTTTATAGTTTATCGATCGCATCTATTCTTCACTAATAGTTATATTTATTATCTATATAAACTATTTAATTAACAATACATTTATTGCTAATAATAACAAATTTTTGATTAATCATATAATTTATAACATGTTAGACATTATTATTATTAAAATATTCAAATATTATCTGAAGAAACAATGCGAGCACATCCTTGAGATCACATTACTTTTGCTCAATTTTTATTTAAATTTTCACAATTTATTTATATTTTAACTACTAATTGACAAATAATTAAAAAATATATAAATGTTTAAATAATTATTTATCATTTTAGTAATAATTAATAAAGATTTTATTATTTTATAAAATTACAAATTTAAGTGCAATTACTTCTTAACATTCTTTGATTTTGTTTTAATTGAATTAATTATATTTTTTATCATTTATTTAAATATCATTGTAATTATAATAAATATATCAAAAAATAGCTTTTAGATTGAGTTTTATTGGCGAAATTAATAGTTTATTTAAGGATTCTTTAATTAAATATTAAATTAGATAATAAATGAATTGATAAATTAATGTTACATTTAATGAAATTAATTATAACTTGTATAAGTAAAGTTTTACATAAAATTTTAAAAATAAATTTTTTGTTTAAAACTACAAGACGTAACGCTAAAGTAATGCTGAAAATATGTGCTTTCACTGGCTATCAGACCTTCAGGTTATCTAATGTAGGAAAGGGTTACTTAAGGGAGCCCTTAGTTGCATCACAACTGGAAATAATGTTAAGTTAGCATTCATTGCAAACATCGTTGAAATCGCGGACAACGAGCCATAGATTTAGGCGATTCTCTATTAGTTATGCATTTCTCAGTAATGAGTCAGAGATGTTGTAGACAAGTATTGGCCCCGAAGTGACCCCCACTCGACCCCTACCCGTGTTATGCCTATTACTCCTGTTCTGGATTACATACCATAACATAACTACAAATACAATACTAAATATTTTTATAACTATTATTTTCTTCCAAACTCTTCAGACAACAGACTCTCAGGTTTAGAGAAAAGTCCTTCTATTTAACGACCAAACGCTAGGAATTGAAATATTTTACACAATAAGCGCTAAATCTTTTCATCCCTTCTCTCTCTCTCTCTCTCTCTCTCTTCGTCCTCCTGATGTTGTTGTCTTCTGAGTGCTATTTGTGCGGCCATTACCTTCTGTCTCTCCACTACTAAAATGCACTTGCTGC